CCCCTCCCTTCCCCCATCCCTCTTCTCCCTCTCCCTTCTCCCCCTTCTATTCCTCCTCCCTCCTCCACTCCTTCCCTCCTCTCATCCCTCCCCCATCCCTCTTCTCCTCCTCCCATCCCTCCTCCCTCCGCCAGTCCATAAACCTGTCACTTTGGGCACACAGTGTAGGATAATCCTGTTACAATGAAATATTTGACCTTAAAATATGATGCTCAGACACCACTCACTCAAGTGTCTTCATTTCTGAGAGATGATGACTAGCTTGGGTTACAGCCCTTCTGTGACAGCACAAGCTCAGGTCCCCTAGGGATCCTCCCAGAATCAAGGATTTCTTCTAGACTGGTGTAGAAATCAGGCCTCCTGACCCAGGCTTAGGGATGTGGGGTGTCCCTCACTGCTTGAGCCCGGCACGGCTGTGTTGTTGGGAGGAGTCATTGGGCAGGGAAGGGACACCACTCATTAGAGACGTGCAGCAGCATCAGGTTAGGATTCAAGGCAGCCACTGTTTCTGTTACCTTAGAGCTCCCAGTTTTCCTAAATATAAAAGTCACCGAGTAAATATGTATGGGATCCCTGAGCTTTCCATTGAAAATACATTTTTTTTTGTTTTGTCTTGAAAAAGCCAAATCTAAAAAAGAGTTGACCCTTAAGCAACATGGGTTTAAATTGAGGGGATCCACTTACTTGGGGGTCTTTTCCAGGGAGGATGTTGGAAATTATTTGGGAGCTTTTCATTATATGAATAGTTTCATCTGTAAACAACTATAAACGTGTTTTTCAATTATCTTCCCTTTTTGAAATCCAGTGCTAGTAATAATGTGACATCAGTAGTGGGGAACATGAGAATTCTCATGGAGGTGCTGACACAGTTCAACTCAGAAACAGGGGATGTAAACTAATGGTACTGAGGAGTACGGTACTAGAAACGTTCTATGTTACATTTTTCTTACGAGTGTTCTCCTGATTTTTCTTCACATTTTCTTTTCCCTAGCTTTATTGTATCTAATACTGTATCTAATAGTAATAACATACAAGCTATGTATTAATCGACTGTTCCTGGAAAGGTTTCCAGTCAACAGCAGTAGCTAAATTTGGGGGAAGTCAAAAGTTAGATATGAATTTTTGACTTTGGGGTTAAGTGCCCTCAACCCCATTTTTTAAGGGTCTTTTTTTTTTTAACTTTTTTTTTTTTTTAGATTTATTTATCTATACAAGCACTGGGCACAGTTAGAAGCACGGGAGGGTGAGAGAATTCACCAGAGCCAGAGCGGGGAGCAGAGCAGGCAGACTGACAAGTACACTGCTGAGGCGAGCAGCGGGCACAGCAGGAGAGGTCTGTGCGCCATGTGGGACCCTCGCCCGGTGGCCGGGGATCAAACCGGTGCTGCAGAGGCTGCGGGCAGCTTCGCAGCACAGTGCTCAACCGCTGCACCACCGGGGAGGCCCCTATATTACATTTTTCTTACGAGTGTTCTCCTGATTTTTCTTCACATTTTCTTTTCCCTAGCTTTATCGTATCTAATACTGTATCTAATAGTAATAACATACAAGCTATGTATTAATCGACTGTTCCTGGAAAGGTTTCCAGTCAACAGCAGTAGCTAAATATGGGGAAATCAAAAGTTAGATATGAATTTTTGACTTTGTGGGGGTAAGTGCCCTGAACCCCGTTTTTTAAGGGTCAACTTTTTTTTAACTTTTTAAGGTAACCTAAAAGAGCAAGAGCGTTATTTAGTAGCTGCAAAAATCCATAAATAATTCAGTCTGAGGTTTTGCCTTGCTCCAAGAAGACGAGACAGCAGCTGGGAAACTAGGAGAGAACAGCAAGGTGGGGTGTTTGCAGCACTGGTGTGGGGATGCACTCCCAGCCTCTGCCCACTCTGGCAGACTCTTGTCTCTAGCACTTGGCATAGTGCCTGGCATGTGATGAAGATTCAGTGTTTGTTGAATGAATGAGGGAGTGAATGAATTAGTTTAATGCGTCATTGCACTTGACAGTTTTGATGGAGGTACTTTTGCCCTGGGAAACATCTTTTCTGCTTCAAGGAATAAGTTTTTGAAAGAAAGGCTTGTGTTTTCGGGGAATTCTGAAAGCACACCATGTGGCATCACCATGCTGGCAATTTACAGAGTCTGAAACCCCCTGGTCTGTCTGGATCCGTCCTTCTGTCCTAATGAACACATTCGCTTATTTATCAGACAGCACGGCTGGGTGAGTGCACTCTCAGGCACTGCAAGTCAAAAATGCTGTAGACACACCCTTCCCTTCTCTGTGCTCGAGAAAGCCCCAGTGTGAACAAGAAGAGGGTCTTGAGGGAGGACCCAGGAGACCACCCCCACCCCCAGAACTCCACATAGGCCACCGCTGTGTCCCCGTGTGCCTGGAAGGCTGGAGTTTCCTTGTGTCAAGGTGCCTGAAGGTGGCCCAGGACAGGGTCACTGCTGCTATCCGGGCTCACGTCCAGTCCTTAGACTTAAGCTTGTCCTTACCCTCAAACTATTGACCTGGCAACGTAGCAGGACCAGTTAATGCTATGGCCAACCCAGAGATGTAGGCTATACTTTACGGTTGTGCACAGAAGGTATGTTATGGCTAATTCCCCTCCAGAAGGATCCCTAGTGAAAATTCCGGGTCTCGTAGATGACTGCATCACACACAGGAGGGAAGGCACTGGCGAAGAGTCCAGCATCAGCCCACATGGGCTGTGTCGAATTCCCTACCCAACCTATGCCGAGAGGAAGAAAGTAGCAATATTGACAGTCCCTTTCACACGTATCCCTGAATACTGTGAACTCGGTGTTACTGTCCTCTTTTGCAAATGTGGAAGCCAGGCACAGAGGCATTGATTGGCCCCAGGTCTCCCATCTACTTAGCGGAAGAGCTGGGGTTCCAAGCCTGGCCTGGCTAACTTGAGTTCACACACCCCTGGGCAGGTGCACTTTTCAGATAGGGTTTTCAGGCTAAAAGTCACTCTGTATCTCACCTGTCCAGTGGCATCCTGCGGCGGGCAGGCCCTACCCCAGGGGAGCAGGGCAGGAGCCTGCATCTTCTAAGGGGGCGCAGATTCCCCATCAAGCCGTGGTTACCCTCCTGCTGCCCCAGGGAGGGGACACATTGGTGGGGTGGGTGCCAAGCTAGACCACTGGATTCCGGTCAAGGTCAAGAGAGGGCTCTATGGGTGTCTCTGCTCCTCAGACCCTCTGTGCAGCTGCCCCTTGGGTGCTTGTGAACTCTGCACAGGGGACCTCGACCCTCAGGGCTGACTATGTTGGGGGAGCAAACTGCTTTGCTGGAAAAGGACTTCAGGGCAATTAGGTGTACGCTGAGCAGGAGATGACAGAAGTGGGGGCCTGCATCTGAGGGGGTGGGCTGGTCAGGGTGACCTTTAAGAACGCGCAGGTGTGGGGCAGCTTGGCTGTCAGCTGAGGGCCTCACAGCCGCAGCCACAGGCACTGTGACTCTGAAAGGCGGGCACCGGCCCTGGGAGAGGCACGCACGGGCTGCAGGAGAGGCTGCCGCTGTGTCCAGGATCAGCTAAGCCTCCTGTTGCATAAGCTGACCACGATATCAGCTGTGGGGGTGCAGGTGGGGGTGGTGCTTTTTCCCATTATTTGCGTGTCTAACTGCAGGGAGTGAGTACGTTGACAGAGTGGGTGACCTTGGGGACACACAGATAACAGGTGCCTTGACCGATACTTGCTTACAAGCAGACGCCAGGCCACCACTCCCAGATCCTGCAAGTCCTCACTGCAAGTCACTGACAAGTTCTTGGAAGTTTCAACATGAGGCACGACCACATATAACAGACCCAATTTCACCCTGGGATAATTGGCTTAAGTGAAAGTTCACTTTCTACAGCCTATTTCTGGTCATAGAGACATCATCAAACTTCTAAATAACCCCCCACCCCCACCAGCATCTAGATCCCTCCACTCGTTTTCCAATTTACTTTCCGTTCAGGGTCATACGCGGCCAGGCCCTGTCTTGGCAGCTCAAGGCATGAGGGGGGACACCATGCCGGACCTGGCGCCGGTCCCTTGCAGTGCATGTCACATCCACACAGGCTGGGACCACTGAAATGCACCTACGAACCTCACCCGCATGGCGCAGCAGACCTCTCTGGGGTGTGGCAAGAATCCGGAGCTCCTGCAGAAAACCCCCCTGCACATGGGGACAACGTGCCGACTCCTCACACACCCTGACTCTGGCGAGGAATTATCTTCTCCCCAACACTGCCTGAAATGACGTGGTTGGCCCTACTGTGCTTTGATTCAGCTGATTCTGGACTGTGCATGGACACAGGGTCCTGACTCCCACCCTGCCTAGTCCTACGTGCAGCCAGGCTGGGGAACTATTGGTCTAATCTCTTTTGCATCTGGGGAAACTGAGGCCC